CTTCTCACTGCTCTCCAGACTGTAGTTTTCGACACAGAGAGGTTTAATTCCGATCGGATCTGGTTCAAGGAGGACGTACTGTTGGAAACAGTCCTCAGAATTTTCCGCTCGTCACGGGTAGTAATCTTTCATGGGTGTCCACAGTCGGTGTTATATCTAACGACATGAGGACTCTAGAAATCTCCGAATGGACCGAGGGGATCTCTCTATTTGCCTGGAAATGGCTCGAGTACGGAGCCCACCTTCATGATGAGCCTTCTCATCAGAGGAAAGCAGACGACCACGAGCCATGTTGACAGTCAGGTTTAGTAATGCCTTTGCTACACTTGCTTACCTTTACAAGTATCTTCAAACACGAAATTTCCTCTCTTTCGTTAATAATTGTTCACTTTCTCAGGGGGACCTTATAATTATGAAACGGTGCAAAAACCGATAAGCTGTTCTAAAAAAGTTCATAAGAATGCTGCAGCGGCTAAGCGACGGATACCTAGGTTATTCGTGCCGGGGAATCTGTTCATGATGCTGGAAAAAATCCTTAATGATTACTTTTTTTGAAAGTGCAAAAATTGAGGGTGACCTTATAATTATGAAACGCACTGTATTATAGTTTCTCTTTTCGCGTCAGCTGTTCTTTCGATAGATCATTCCATTACAATTACCCATGACATTCTCCTTGCCCATTAGGATTGAAGCCTGAGCCACTCTTATTGAATTACGATTACCAGCATGACCACCATGCGATAATTTCTCCCATCAACTGATCGACAAGAATTTCGCTTGGCTTCGATACATATAATCACGCAAAGAAATGGCGGTAGAACGGCAGAAAGCCAGTTGTTGGCTAGAATCTTGCCTGCTCTGTTTTTCGAAATAGTTACATCTGGTCAGGTGAGTTTGGGCACCGGGTACATTCTGCTCAGAAACTCCGAGCTACACGAGGTTGGCGAGTTATAGACAAAACTTTGGCCTCGGACAGGACGCGAACCCGTACTTGTGGTACCCGGTACTGTGTTTTGACATAACATTTCCAAAAAAATTTGCTACTCAAGATAGCACAGGTATGGGTTCGAGTCCCGTCCGAGGCCAAGCTTTTTCCATAACTCCTCCAACCTTGTGATGTTTTCGTATCGCGTACAGCGACGAATAACATCAGTTAACAAAACATCAAGTCAAATCTCCGAGCTACTCTTTCTTTGATGACGACGACTTATGCTTCAAAACGGTTCGAAGCTCCTGATCTGTACCTAGAATGGTTCGAAAGGTCAACCTAATAGCAGTTAAGTTCTAATAAACCTTTACGAGATTGTAGTGCGAAGCACTATTCAAAAGTAGTTAAGAAGACCAAGCCAGGATTTCTTCAATATAACGCGTTCGGCAGGAATTCACCCCTCAATCCAGCGCCGCTTGACTCATATTTTCTACGTGAACGGCATTCAAAATCGTAATGTTTTCCGTAGCTAACATCGTTTCATAACAGCGAACTGGTACAATTGTCTGACATATCACCGCACATTATCGTTTAAACGTTCGTGGTTAAAAAATCGTCGTACAATCGAATTCAGGTCCGGTTTATGGGCTAGAAAAGAGAATGCATTTGACAAGTAAAATGAAAAAAGGTTCAGCTCCGAAATGTCACGACTTTCTCCGAGACAACCGGCTAATTGAAGGTCACTTTCTTCATATCCGTTAACATCCTCTTACATTATGTTCTGTGTGGGGTTGGGGGGAGGAAAAGGTGTGTTGGTAGACAACTGAGCACGGTATGAAGTGCGAGAGTGCCTATACAAAGGTTACATTTACGCCCATGTCATCAGTCCCTTTAAAACATGATTGACTAAAAAGGAGCGGAATAAATGCTGAAGCCAGCTGAATGGTTCTGCCCTTTCATCCTGCTATAAATAGATCGGTTCGCTAAATGTGCCCATCAGTGAATGTGCATATGCGAAAGAATGAGCGCGGTATAAAAAAGAAATTTTCCTATTTTATGCATTAAGCTTTTCAGTTCAATTCAGTATCATATAGTTAGTAAGAGCCTAGTTAGTACCATCGACTCCGTAGAAAACACATACAAAGACTTCAAAGTTAGTTTAGAGCAAAATGTTTTCGTCTTGAAAGTGGCAGCATGTAATACTGAAGATAAAAGGAACAGAATTATTCGTCATCAGCACCACAATTACAGTACTTCGGCATGGGCCAATACCATCTTGCTGAATACTGGGAACCAGTTAAGTTAACAAATTATTGTCATTCGTATCAATTGGTGAGCTGCTGTTATGATATGAATAGGAGAACAGCATAAATGAGTCAGCCAGCAAAGCTTTGGAACCTGGTGTCGAATTTCTCGTTTTGCCAATGTTAATCGTAAATGTGCGCTGTTGTGGTGTGTACCAGTTAAACTGGTTTGATTATGCACAATACTATAGACGTCGCATATCAAAGATGGCGAAAGATGTAATTTGAGACAGTTTCCCAGACGAAGACACTGGTTTTTAATGGCTTACATCGCCAAAAGATTGAAATAGCTCCAAAAGCCTTAGAACGGCATATAACACTGCGCAACACATTGTACGTTCTTCAGTATAACGAAAGTATCGCCCCGCGTAAGATTCCCTACCTAGTAGGGGATTTAGAACCCTCAATTCAAGTCTATTGCAAGATATCGCACTTTCTCCCCAACTTCTACAACACACTTCGCATTCACTACAATTTCCTGAATAAGAGATCTACCGAGCTGCGAGTTATTACAGAAGAAGCTTGAAAAGAAGCAACAGGCATCATCATTGTCACGATTGCGCCTTTCAAACTTTCAGAGAGCAAAGAAAGAGACAGCAGACGGAAAAACTTCTCGCAGAGATAAACAGAAATGAACAAAAGTAACTCCCGCCCTAATTCTATCAACATGATCGCCTCATTGAAGTAATCAAAAAGAACCAAAAACAAAAAAAATAACAGAAAAGAGCCATACCTCATTCTTAATGTGATCGATTTCATTCATGAGCTCCATTTTGCGTTTTCGCAATATCCGCAACTGACTCATCTCCTCCTCGGTGAGATCCGCGGGATTAAAAGCGCCCGCCATGTTGTTTCAATCACCGCATGCACAACCTCGTTAAATACCTGATCGACTAGGGTATCAACAAATACAATAAACAATACGATTTACAATTCATTACAAAAAATGGAGATAGACATTAAGAACTGAAAAACCGGAAGCGATAAGAAAGAAAAGGTCAAGCACAAATAGGCAGTTTCGATGACAATTGACGTTTTTCAGCACTGGCGCGGGATCGTTTTTTCTCAGATCATGGGAAGAAGACGTCACAACAAGTCAGGATCTGAGCAAAGAGCACGCAAACAATTTGATGGTCTACTTTTCTCTTCAGCACCTCTGTTTTGGCTGTATGAAGAAAAACTAGAGATTCATTGGTGAATTCAGCAGTTTGTCAAAAACTTCTTATTTGAAAGTAGAAATCGGGAAGCATTTTCTGCTTCGCCAAGATAGTCTAGAAATTTTCCAAGACAACTCATCAATTACTTTGGTTTTAACGCAGAAACTGCACTAGGAAAAGGTCAGTCGCAATAATCCGTTAGTCTGGGATTCCCATCTTCTTGAACGTCATCCACAACATTTTCGAGTTCCGAAGAACTATCTATATCAAAACCAAATTGGAATAAGCAAACTTCACGACTAAAATAGTTTTTGCAACAAAAATTTCAACAACATCCACATCTGGAAAGATCGTAACTTCCCAATAGAAGAAAGAACTTGCTGATAATTGACACCGCTGTCAAACAGTAAATTTGAAACGCCATAAATGGTCATACAAGCAATATTTATTTAAAGAAAAAAAAGATCAATGGTACCGAGGATGCACCAAACGTCCAAGCGCCACACAAATGATGAACAATGCTGACGCGACCAAGGCGCCTGCGCATTCCGCGCCAATACAGCTTGATTGACGCCGAGACGGTGTAAAACCGGGTTAACTTACTTTCTGCTGAAGAATGGCGAATTTTTTGACGGTACTTCATTGAAGCCAGAAAATCAAGGGTTTATAAAGTAGCCCTTACTGGTAGCTACATAATGCGAAGATAATATTACAACAGAAAAACTTCATAGCTTCTGCCGCTCATCTATTCATTGCGACTGGTTTAATGAGACACTTTCTTTTCATTTTTTTCGATTCAGTAATCATACTCACCTTCTTTTTTCTTTTATACATCTCAGAATCCTGCATAATTAATGACCTGCAATGATAAAACATTAAAAATCTTACACAAAACTGATAAGTTCAAAGTTTAATATGACGCAGGAATGAAATGGATGAATATCAGAAGCTAAAAGACCAGCTACACGATCAACACGAGCTATACTGCCCTTGATATTTTCATTTCATGTATTTATAACCTTGCACAACTATTGCACGTTATTACGACACCATGCTACGGTGACTCATTACGAAGTATTGCACAACTTTCACGCTACTTTTTCTCTGGCCTTAGAAAACTCTAAACCCATATGCCCATAGTCCAAAAAGCTTTTTTAATGATAAATAAAAAAGAGTACCGAGATATTGAGAGTTGACTTGGACACTGCCTCTGAACAACCCTCTAATGGGCTTCAAATCAATTACAGTGTATTTATCAGTTTCTCTGTGCAGATGTGGCATAGTGGAAGTGCCGCAGTAGCATGGACCCATGAACGAGGGAGTCAAATCTCAGATTGGTCTTCGCTCTGGTCAACCTACCTTTCCATACCTGCGGACTCGTTTGATTGGTACGAGACCATCCTCGGAGGGGAAAAGCATTGACTTTTACAGCTTGTCATGAAATTATGGGCGCCTATTCATTGCAATTTGTCTTACACGGGAGACGGGCAGTAGGAACGGTTTTGTGTAGTCAGTTCGCCGCACGCGGCTGTCGCGGACCATTTGCCTCGTTAGAACAGTTCTAGCGTTGTTCATAGCTCAATCGCTATGCGATTATTACTTTTAGCATGATTCTGCTTTTGGTTTTTTTGTTCCTGTGTTTCTTACTTTCTGCTGCACTCTGCTACATTCCTTCGCGTGCGGCGTTTTTCCCGCCGCGACGCCCTACTGCACCATACCCGTCTTACACGTTCCCTTACATTATGTGCAACAACAAACCACAGTCACCTTCCCTAATATCTTCCAAGAGCACGGATAGTATCAAGGCCTGTTTTCGAATTCCTCGTTTGTGGCACGCAATTGCCTCTCCTTCATATTTGGGACTCTGAACAACATGACAAACTTGACAGATTTCCCTTCTGATCGGCACCCATTTCATTTTTATGCAATAACAAGACACAACCATCTTCTCCTCCATAAGCACGGATTCAGAGTCCAAGTTATTCCCGTTATCCCTCCCCGATTTCTTCTCAGCCGTTTTAGAGTTCTTCATTAGATGACTCCGAATGGGATGGTGAACTCGGCAGATTTCCATCNCGTTCCCTTACATTATGTGCAACAACAAACCACAGTCACCTTCCCTAATATCTTCCAAGAGCACGGATAGAACCAAAGCCTGTTTTCGAATTCCTCGTTTGTGGCACGCAAATGCCTCTCCTTCATATTTGCCAGCCGTTCTTGGGTTTTTCACACGAGGACTCTGAACTGGGATGACAAACTTGACAGATTCCCCCTTCTGATCGGCGCCCATTTCATTTTTATGCAATAACAAGACACAACCATCTTCTCCTCCATAAGCGCGGATACAGACTCCAGGTTATTGCCGTTATCCCTCCCGATTTCTTCTCAGCCGTTTTAGAGTTCTTCATTAGAGGACTCCGAATGGGATGGTGAACTCGGCAGATTTCCATCAGAGGCAACACGATGAAGACAACTAGGTTAAGATCTGGTGATCAAGATGGCTATTTCTCGTTGCTAATGAAGTGGGGCATCCCGTGTCGATTTCTCTTTTGGACGAGCTCTGCTCTGTCTCCTGTTGGACAGACTATGGGCTGGTTCAGGATGCGACTTCAGCGATGCTTCAGGTTAGTTCTTACGGCGGTACCGCCACTGGCATCTCACCATGGTCCGTGGCTCAGCCATCGTTTTGCTGTTCTTATAGTAACTTCCTCTGTATGACTAATGACCACTGTAGGTTCGTTATTGGAATTACGAGAAATTTTGCACCGTCCTTCCTCCTCTCGTTGAATTATCGCAAGTAGCTTTGAAACGAACCCATACCATCTCAAAGACATCAAAAGACCTACTTCGGTAACTCGGTAACTATGCAAATCGGAACAAACCCTACTTGTGCAAATAATAACAAGGTAAATTAACTGTTTCCGAACTAGAAGATCATCAAATCTGGCCCCGTAATTTCACGGCACCCGGTACGGCACACACCCTTTCAACGCGCCAGCCACCACGATTCTGCATAGAAGCATAAATAAATCGAATGCAGGACTCATCCCAAAAAGGATTGACTACCGCCCAAAAACGGACTTTTTGCAAAGAGGTTTGAACGGTTTCAAAGGAGGTAGAGGTAAAAGTTAGTGAACATTTCGAGGCGTGAAGGCCTGAAGTGGTGAATTAGTCGGAGATTATAAGTGAAGTGAGGTTTTAAACTAATTTCACTATGCATAAATCAAAATCAAACACTCTGCCATTCGACTGCTCCAACAAGAAGCTGATACTAGATAATGAGATAGTTCAGGAAGTTGTTGAGGTGAAAAGCACCACTCTAAAGCTTTAATTATACAAACAAGGAAACATTTATGTATCGACGTAAAACTAATTTATGTCGCTAGCCCAAAAGCTTTGTTCATGTTATACTGTAGCCGATCGCGGCATTCATCAGTTCCATGTTTGTTTGAAGCACGACACAGCTACATGCAAAACAATAAAAAAATCTAGAAATCCTTAAGAACCTATGGCACTAGTCCGACGCCTGACCATATCTGGACATGCCAACGTTCCAACTATGAGATCAACATATGGAAACAATCAAAATGTAATTTAGATAACCCTTATTAATAAAAACAATATGAACCTCATACAAAAACAAGAATGTCACTATAGGGACCGGTTTGTGATATGCTTAAAATCGCAAATTAAACTGAACACCGGGTACTAGCAAAACTGAAAGCTCCAATCGATTGATTACAAAAACTTAAACAACGCGCATCCATAACTACATATATGGAAACAAAATTGTTCGAACACAATTGTATAGGGCACATGGTGGTGAAATAAGGTGACAAAGGTAAGCACCCGACATCTGTACGTTCAGAATAAATTGAAGTCGCAGCTCAATTTTCAAAAGAGCCTAGCCCTTGCAAATAAATCTATCACTATGACTTTTACTATGACTCTGTACTCAACATAATTCCGGAACGCACGACAAGAAATCTTTCAGGTAATGGCAGTAGCTTCAGCGTTCTCCCGTCTTAGTAGCGTTTTCTTTTACAACACGGAAAAATCCGTTGTTGTATGTGAGCAGGTTCATTTTGACTTTCTTCATCAGGAAAGCCGTAACCGTTTCGAGAGATGGCCCTTGAGCAGATGGAGAGGAGAACATTCGGTAGATACGATGCATACGTTCCGCCTTGACTTCTCCATTATCATGATTCGCCTAAAACAGATGCTGAGTAGTACTACAGCACCAATATCAGCTAACTTACTGTTTTATGTCAATCATCAAACAATGTTCATGAGGAGCATTGTGAAGCGGTAGGAAAAAGGAAAGCACGATAGCCTTTCATGGGTACCACTACTCATTACTCACACTACTATCGGCCTATTTTTGAAAAGCGTTTCAAAAAAAAAATCAAAAAAAAAAACAAAATCTATTTCTGATCAGCAGCAAGTTTTGTGGAAGGTAAACTAACAATAAAGTTCTTCGTGTAGCTCCAATACTGTTCCAGCGCGTCTATGGCATCAGTCGTCTCCTCGATAGCCCCCTCGTCCTCATCAGATTCATCATCAGCGGCACCTCGTGATGTCGCGAGTAGGTTCGGATTTGTAACTAGAGACCATTCTTCTGCGGTTGCACCGGTCGGTAAGTTCTGTAAAAAACTTTATGACTTTCATAAAAGTGTCAAAAAGCAAAGGAAGCAGGTGTAAACCGGATCGAATATACCTGTGTCAGAAGACCCTGTGAACGCCACCACTCCAGACGCCGCCGAGCCACTCCTTTCGATATTGAAAGTCGTTCCGACACTTCAGAAACTGTCCAGCTCTCTGCATTTTCACTTTCAGAGCAAAGTCAAACGAGCAAAACGAGGCTAAGCAAAGGAGGAGGCCACAGAAGGACTACCTTTCTCTAAGTACAAATAGAGTACGGCTGCAATTGGATTTGGCACCACCTTATCCACTTCGACGTCTCCCAGCTTCAGCGTCACCTCCACACACCTGCAGCATGGCATATAAAAACAGCAATCGATAAACGTCAGCGCTTTTATGCAATTTTTTATACTTTATTAACATGTTCCTATTTTTTGTTTAAAAAAAACAACAACAAAAGTTCTGCAAAACCGCACCCAACAGCTCTCAACCACTGCAGACGACGTGATTCCTTGTGATCCATGAATGACTTCTCATACTCAACGAGCGCTTCTTCTAGTACTGGTGGGAACTCCTTGAAAAGAAGGACTAATGTGCTGGAATTCGGCCAAAACAAAGAATTCCAGAAATCTTACCGGGACCGTTTCCGAATTGATTTTTGGCCAAAAATGAGATGAGATTACACATGCAGACACCGGCACACACTGAAAAGCAGTTTTTAATGTCAGGTGACCCTATAGATAACGATGAGCCTAACGATGCAAAAAAANAAAAAAAGTTAAAATACTGATTGTGTATGATCTCATCACTATCCACGATATCCTGCAGTCTACGGATTACGTGGACGTATTTTTCCTCAAGATGCTATCTACGAATTTCTTCTCCGAATAAATAGTTTCGAGATAGATAAGGGACTGAGGAAAGTCGTTGAAACAAAGCACTGGTAATAAGTAATACCCCAAATCAGCACTTTTCGTCTGGGTACCGAAGATGGTACCACTTCTTCACTCCAAGCACCAGTTCAAGCCGAACAACCTAATCAAAGTCTTCTCTGAACAATTTTGCCTAAGAATCAAAAACAAATTGAACTTATAGTCAATAAAGTATAGTTAGTCTAATATAACGCACTATATGAAGGACAGAACTTGACTTCGCATAAACATAAATAAAGATCATTAGGAACAAGATACTTTATACTGACTTTTCTTCCCAAAGCAGTCCTGTCAATTCGCTGACTATCTCGGATATCTTTGAGCATAACCTCACATTGCTGAAGCTCCCCCTCGTTGAAACGGAGTTTGAGTAGATCCAAATAGCGGCGCTCGAAGATTGGCTTAAAGATGGTTGTTTGTGACAAAGCGCTGATCCTACCAAAGGAAATCTATAGCAGAGCCTCATCTATGGTGTCAATTCCACTATCATAACTAAACACAACTGACATCTTTGGTATTACTACTTGTGAGGCGCTCCGCCAGCAGTTGGCGATACTCTTTAACAAACATTTCTTTACTTCCATAAACCGAAACAAGCATGTTGAAGACGTCCGCAGCTTGGCGGAATCGACCGCTTTCTCCTAAAATAAGTTGAACCATCGTTTAGAATGCCGAGAACTGCAAAGTACTGGTACTTCTTTGTTAACATACCAGGGCCTACATCGATTGGATCAGGCATCCAATGCCGCCACTGTGATAAGTTCATGGCTTCAGGTAGGAAATCATCATTAGCACCGGTAAGTTCATCTTCATCCACAATAGTACCACATCTGTTGGCCTAGAATAGGAACCATTGATGTCGACTGTACCAACGGAATGGGGCAAACTTTCGCACAAGTTTCTTGACAAAGAAAACTCACCAAATGCGCCGCGAGATCATCGCGTTTCTCTGAGGTTATGTAATTGATGATCTGTCGAACAGTATCTGGTCGTCCTCTGTAAAGTTTCACAAACTAATGTAGTTAAAGCAAAAAGTATGGATAGAAATAAGTCATAGCAAGAAGAGAACCTACTTCAAATACTCTTTGATTACTTTACACACACGATGCATTATGACACAAGAAGGATCCAGTTCTCGAAGGGATTCCACGCACAGTGAGTAACCATTCAGAATCGCTGGCGTGTCAACAGCTGAAATGCTAAGTTAAACGGCGGCCTTTTACCAAATGCCCTTATTGTTCCCGGTAGCATTTCCATTCCTACGAAATCCCATTTTCAAAGATTCACAGTGACCACAGAGTTGGATTTAACTCGAACTATACATATTGACAGCGAAGGAGTTCTTTCAAGACTCATGAATAACGTTTTTGTTATAGGGTAAGTATATCGAAAGAGGCATCTGTAGCAATGTACTACTCGCTTCTGAATCACTTCGAAAGGACTTTATCTATGTTCTGGCTTTTCCCAAGCTAAATGTAAGATCTATTCGCGCCAACTCGATTACTTGACATCTCATTAGGATTCTATCTCTTGGTCTTGAGAGGGAGGAGGAACCGGAATAAAGTGCAGAGATCGAAATCTTTGATATGCTTGAATTTGAATATCTGCCTTTTCTGGACAAGATGTAAGACTGTTTGAGATCGAAAAGAATGCACTTCTGGAAAAAGTTGTAAAAAAGAAAACAAAAGAAAACTAATATCTTCATTTCGTTCGCAGAAAAGTATGGCTATTTGAAATAGAACCCACACCGCTTAATAAGCTGAACCATGATACACTTTTCTATATATCCAACTCGAACTCATTACGAGCACACTTGCTCAGTAAAACCCACCTATATGAAGTAGTTGCGTTTCGACGTCATTTATCAAAGTATTAACTAGTTTTTCACGGCCATACTCTTGTATGCTGATCATGCATTTACGAAGTGTCGAAAGAGTAGGATAGGATTTGGGGAAGTTCACCACAGCCATATCATAAATCTGCAAAAAGGTTTTCAAAACGAGTCTGGCCTCGCTCAAATAGAGTACTTACTGAATCAGTCAAACGATCGATTATGGCTTTCATGAGAGCGTTTTTGCCCAGATCCTGTATTGTACTCAAATCTCCTTTGTCGGTTAAAGGGATCGTGCTTAGCCATGCCCACAGAACTTCATATATCTTGAAAAATCGTGATTGAGCACCTGTGAAATCTCCCATCAACATGTGTAAGCCTAACTTCTTCCATTTGTTCGGTGGTCAAACCGCCGGTACGTTCCAGCACGTGTTCTATGTAAGCCTTTCCCACTTTAACATATGTCGCATGAATCACAGCGGTCACGAGATCATTCAGTTGGAAGCGTCCTTCTATCCTTAAAGATTAAAAGTGAAATCAATTGAAAGTTCATAGAGAAATAAGAGCAAAAGCACAGGTACATGGTAAGAAAGCACTAAGATCACGGTGGGTGACATGGGGTAAAAGTTGTCACCCAATATTTAGAGGCTATATGTGGTGAAGCTTAACTCCATGATTGGGACCAGAAAAGGTTAGATAGGGCAAATGAAGCAGAAATAACTTCCAATAGTTTTCTAAGATTGAACAAAAAAAAAACAAGAGCATTCCAAACAAACTTACATATAAGCTATAGTTTCACGCATCGCATTGGCGGTGAAGCGACGTTTTTCAAGTTTCCCAGATCGTTTAGAGAGAATGTGATCGAAGAAATCACCCTGCTCAAGTGGATCACGTCGACAAGTATTAGCTTCAACAACATTCATGCCTGAATAGGCTAAATTCTCCCAATTTCGTTAGTGCTCTAGGAAAAGTCAAATGAGAGGAATGTCTGTATGCTACGCCTTAAAGGAAAGAATCCAAGCAGAAAGCAAAGTGGGGCCATGACACTCAATCATTATTCCAAAAAAAAAAACAGGAAAGTCCAAAAGTATAAATTGCATTGACTTACATCGGATCGAAGTGAAATGGTTGATCATCAGAGGCATTAACCGTCGAGTCCATTCGGCCCAGTCATGACGAGGAAAAAGCAAATCAGGAACATGTCGCCAAATCTTATCGGAGAAGTTTTGTAAGGGATTATCCGCCATGACGATTAACAACAGCTGGAATGGGTCTCTATGAGAGAAATAATACGAACACTAAGCGATTCGTCGGTAAGGAGAGAACCAAGTGGTGTGAAAGAGCCTGTATTCATAGAAACATTTAATGTTTCTATAAACGGTGCATTTATCCCATAAATATTTTTGCTTTCGGGACGCCCGACAGCTTCTAATGGATGCACCCCGTTGCCCGTGGGCTCAATAGAGCCTTTGTTTAGTGTCGAATGAAGTAACGGCGAAATGTATTGATTACAATTGGTATGTGCAAATAAAAAACCTAAAATAAGACCTCCAACCTCATTGATACAGTTCTCGGTAGCGCATAAGCCAGACTTTACTTCGTCAGCCAATTCTTTATTGGAGAATTTCGACGGCAATCCACTAAACCACACCATCATGTGCGGCTTCAACGTATCTGCGATGAACCATCTGAAATTAAAGCCCGATCACATAAGTAGCCACCCTCATCGAATTAAAACCATTAAATTCCTCACAATTAAAGCCCATTCTGTCCGTTGAAGCTCTTGAACTCGAAAAATTGCGAAGAAAAGCATGTTTTACAACTGACATACCTTACAGCCGCGATTGCTCGGAATTCCCACGTGGAATCAGTTTGCAGGCTACCATCGGGAATCTTTACGGCGAAATCCTTCTTCCCAAATGGATTTTTGACCGACACCAATCCTGTAAAACCCCTCCCATCGAAGTTATTGCTACTTTGAAACCTGACTATAGCTCACTTGAACCCTGTGGTATACTGGTCATGTGCTGATCATTTACCATACTTGCTAAACTGAAGAACAGCCCTGAGACATCAGTGATACCTAAATAGCACAAATGCCGAAATAAAAAGGCGGAACTAAGGTTCGAAATACGGAACAACAAGCCAATACAGCACCTTACCCGAGCAGCTTTCCCAGCCAACAGCTCTCCATCCAAGCTTTCTTCGCCAGAAGCTCACCAGTTCTCAACGATGTACTTTATCAAGCATCGGTCAGAGCCAGTTGAAAACGACCCTGAAGTCAAAATGAATTTTGGTGTAATTGCAGACTTTTGGTACCTACAGTAATGCGACGCCTAATTCTGCCTTAAATGCTTTCGCCGGTTTTCACGTAACGGTTTAATGCAGTTGTTCCACTGATTGACCATCCTATACGAGGCAAAGGCCTATGAAAAGGGAAACGGTCTACGAGGAGGTAAAAAGATAAAAGGGTAAAGTCTAAGGGTAAGGGAAGTTAATCAATCCCGTCAAAGGGATGCGATCGCATTCGGCTTCCATTGAGAATCGTAGTGGCGTATTGAATGCGAATGTGGCCTATGTGAAGAATTGTACGGCCAGCCAATGTATGAGTCAGTGCTTTCGTCCTCCCAGACGGGTTTCATGCCAATAAACACACCCAGAAGGAATCGGGGGCTTAGTTGGCCAGAAGAAGAACTAGAACCGAACCGAGATCCGAACCCAGGATCATGAGAATCCCTTCAGTATCTTGGGAAATTTGGATAGGATACTAAGAGGGATAAAAGACTAAAATAAAAGCATAATTTTAGCCACATTCACTGAAAGGAGGAAACAGAGAACACCGACGGCGAGGGCCATGAGTATGGTAAGTTCGGTATTGTTTTATGCCCAAGTTGCCTCTCGATGCGGACCAATGCTGCGAATTGCTGTGCCAAAAACTTCTCCAGAATTGGACTACTTCCCGCATTCATTTTTCTACTTTGCCAGCAGAGGAAAAATTGCTTTAACTCTGGAATTATGAGTACTCCAAGCCGAACATAAGAATTTCAAATCCTTGTTCGACTATTGCACCCTCAATGTGTTCAGAGACCATTCTCCACGTGATGGAACTGGCCTCCAAGCAAAACAGACAAGCTCAGCCCACCATTTCCGAAAGATTACACCCCTAACTGCCTTTTTCCTTGACAACATGAAAACATTCAATGAGTAAAAATGGTTCAGAAATGAGTTCAACTCATGAAGCAGATCCGGAAATCGGTTCGGATGAAGTTTTACATGAACCTTCATTTTCCTACACTACTACAACAAAAAAACCTCCCTCCTCTGGGCGAGTTGAGACTGTCAATGAACAAACGAATGAACGGCACGCTAACTTGGGGAAATGTTTGCCGTTTCAGCGTTCATTGAAGAGAAAATCGAACGATAGGGATGGTGGTGGGTGATAAAGTCCAGAACGAGTGTTGCACTTCGA